AGGTCTCTTTAAGGGAGGGACCGCTTGGAATACACCTGCCTAACGTGGCCTAAGGGAAGATCCTAGCCAAAATACAGGGAACCCCATTTTCTGGTCTTTTTGGGGACAAGTGTTTCAACACCTCTACTGGTGTTTCTGGCTTGGAGTTTGGAGATCATGGGTGTGGTTGGAATTGAAGGTTTGAAGGATTAAGAAGCTTATGGCTTAGGGATTCAAGGTTTAGGGTTCTGGGCTTTGGGGCTTATAGGAATTGTAAATAGGGTGCGGGGATAGGTAGCTCATCAGAAAACCTCACAGTTAGTCCTGGTAAACCCATTCAAAATGATCCTTGCGCTTGGTGAGCCCGAAGCCCTCAACCCTACATGCTACACCCTGAACCCCATTATCCAACAACATGTAGAACGATTGTCTCTTGTACGTTTTTGCCGGTTCGGGGCCATTGTTTAATTCCTGAAGGCACGGGTAGGGTTTAGCAAATCGAGGTTTTAAGCCATCACGTCTCCAATGTGTGGATAGGAAACCCACCAAGAAGGGTCGTTTAAGCATTTCATGGAATCTGCCACTCTCCCCTTGACCCTATAGTCCCCCTTAAGTAGATAGAATGTCGGGTATGTGGGGATCTTGTTATGATATACCCCCAAAGCCATATTCCATTTATTTAAAAGGGACTGTAAACCCTAAACCCTAAACCCTAGATAGTAGTTTCCATTTTGTTTTCCATTACCTTAAGCCCTAGGACGCTCCATCAAGAGCTGCAAGTACGCAGGGCCCATGCTGCAAAGGCACCTCGGGCACCTTAGGTGCCACTGGTGGAACACTGATGTCAGGTGCGCGGAGCTGCGGATTTGTTGTGGCTTGGTAGCCGGCTTATGAACTTTAGGCTTTCGGATGTAGCCCTCAGGGTCCAAGGACCTAAATAATAGGGCTTTAGGGCCCAAATACCATGAATATTATAGTATTGGGGCCCGACAACCCTATTATTTAGGCCCTTGGACCATTTGGGTAGGGTTATAGAGGTTAGAAAGATCGACTCAGAGGCTCCAGGGATTTAACGGAGATGTTATGGGGGGAGCATAAAGAGACTCACCCCAACTAGCTTCAAGCCCTACTCACAACCTCCTTACTAGATCCCCTGATCCCTCATGTAGGGCTTAAAATCCTAAGCCCTACCCCCTAAAACCCTAAACCTTAAAACCCTAAACCCGCAAACCCTAAACCCTAAAACCCTAAACCCTAAAACCCCAAGCCCTAAAACCTTAAACGAGAGTCTTGAAAAGGTTTGGCCTGGGATCCTTGTAGAGTCTTGACGCAAAGAAGGGTTTTAGGGTGTAGGGTCTTAGGGTTTAGGGTCTTGGGTTTAGGGCCTTGGGTTTAGGGTGTAAGGGTTTTAGGGTTCTATTGGTTTGGGGTCTTAAGTTTTGGGTTTAGGGCTTTTGGAATCCAACTAGGATTCAAGGATTGCTTACTGGGATAAGGGTATATATTCCCTGCATACTGCCTATATGACATGTTCCCAGTTTCCCTACTACTAAGAACCAGGAAGCTTGGGGTTCAGGGCTGAAGGATTTCGAGGTATTCCTGGAGCAGGCGATACTGCAGAAAACTGGTATCGCAAGGGAAGGTTGACCAATATCACTCAACTAAGGGGGACGTAGCTTACATGATACTAGGATCCCGTACATGCTTCAGGGTATACCTAGACCCCCAACTTATGTAGCAGAATAGCTTCTTTGACCATGTCTACGGGTTCCAGGCCATGTTTGCTTCCTACTTTTGAGGCCCAGTTTATTCCTCCCCTAAATCCTACATGCCCTAGGCTCTAAAGCCCCAACCCTAAACCCTAAACCCTAAACCCTATGCCCTAAACCCTAAACCCTCAACCCTAAACCCTAACACCCAAAACCCCTAAACCCTAACACCCCTAAACCCTAAACCCTAAATTCTTGCGCTCCCTGGGAACAAGAACGACAGCCGCAGCTCGGACTTGAAATCGACAGAGCCAAACCTATGACTTCTCCACAGACAAGTTTAGGGTTTAGGGTCCTAACCTAGAGTTTAGGGTTTCGGGTTTAGGATTTAGGGTTTCCTAACCTAGAGTTTCGGGTTTCGGATTTAGGATTTAGGGTCCTAACCTAGAGTTTAGGGTTTCGGATTTAGGATTAAGGGTTTAGGGTCCTAACCTAGAGTTTCGGGTTTCGGATTTAGGAGTTAGGGTTTAGGGTCCTAACCTAGAGTTTAGGGTTTCGGATTTAGGATTTAGGGTTTAGGGTCCTAACCTAGAGTTTCGGGTTTCGGATTTAGGATTTAGGGTTTAGGGTCCTAACCTAGAGTTTCGGGTTTCGGATTTAGGATCTAGGGTTTAGGGTCCTAACCTAGAGTTTAGGGTTTCGGATTTAGGATTTAGTGTTTAGGGTCCTAACCTAGAGTTTCGGGTTTAGGATTTAGGGTCCTGACCTAGAGTTTAGGGTTTAGGATTTAGGGTTTAGGGTCCTAACCTAGAGTTTAGGGTTCAGGGCTTAGGATATAGGGTTTAGGGTCCTGACCTATACCTAAACCCCAAAAGGTATGCAAAATGATAACCCTAAACCCATAATGACAGCCATAAAGGCCATCATTTTACATACTTTTGTGGTTTAGGTACTCCTTAAACTCGAACCAAAGCATGTCAGTCCGAGAAGTCAGGCAGTTTCAGGAGTGCTGCGGTGCTTTTGGCAGCCAGCGCTCAAAATGGCTCACTGCTGCAAACCTCGGTTCCCGGAACTTCGACCTGATATGAGCTATAGTCTAACTCCTTAAAAGGGGTTATATACGGGATTCTATAGGGCACTACTATAAGGGTTAATAAGAGGGACACGGGGAGTTTAGACTATTACCCCTATAATCCCCCATATACACCCCACTTGTCTATTTCATTTTCCATGTTCTTTTCCATTTGATTCTCCATTATAGGAGGTCATATTATATTGAGAGCACAGAGGTTCAGGGCCACCCCCCTGAACCCTGAACCCTAAACCCTAAACCCTGAACCCTGAACCCTAAACCTTAAACCCTAAACCCCGAACCCTAAACCCTGAACCCCAAACCCTAAACCCTAGGGAGGCAAGGGTCCACATGGGGCTGAGGTTCCAGGGTTTTATGTTTAGGGTTCTCCTGAGTTTCGGAGGTTCCAGGGTTTTAGGTGGATGTGGGGCTAAAGGTGTGTCGGGGCTAAAGTGGGTTCATGGGGGGCTAGAAAGGGAGTTGTATGGGGCAATACAGGGGCTAGAGGGATTAAGGTCTTAGAGATTTGGGGCGTAATTAGAGCGAATAGGGGCTTAGAGCTAGATGTTTTAAGCGTTTTAGGGTTGGGGGTTTCAGGATTCAGGATGAAGAAGCTTAGGGCGTCATTGGGGTGTGGGTGTGAGTTCCAGGGTATAGCGCTTGGGGTTGTAGAGATTTTAGTGCTTGGGGTTTTGGGCATTCACTGTTTATCATTGGTTAAGGATCTGCGGAAGGGCTTGGGTTTGGGAGTCCCTGAACCCATTGCTCCTTGCGAAGGTGCTGTATTGTCAGGGAAATCGAGGTGTGCCTACAAAGCTTGCTTTGGCGCGTGGGCGCTACAGACAGAGGTTTGTAGGGAAATGAGCCTTGCTTCCTACTGACTCAATTTTATAGCCCGGCAAGAGTGTGTCTGCCCGTAATGTGTGGCATTCTCCAGGAAAACAAAAAATCTACTCCTCTTTTGGGATGTGTTTTTCTGCCAATGCTTTTCATCTTGACCCAACGCTTGAAACCCGACCTAGGCTAAGGAATTTGTCTTCTTGTATTCCCAAGTGGACTCCCCATTCATACACTGCCATTCACTGATGCACAACCCGTGTCACTTTCAGGTTTTCACCATGGGCGCCAGCTAGGGCTGGGTGTCAGTTGCCACCTTAGTCAGGTTATTGTTGAATAGAATTTTTCGGCTTCCTTCTCTACTCAAAACCCCATAAAGACTATGAAGTATGGTTGTTCATAGTATCCCGACAAAGAAACTGTTGGACTAGTAGTTTCGTTGACATGGGTACCCTCCAGTACTACCGGTATCTTGCCAGGGTGCCGCTTATGATCCCGGCACGATTTGGGGGCCTTGGGCTTGGACTGTAAATCATTTGAGCCAAAGGTTCCCAGACGTCCGGGGGACCCTCCCCGACAGGGACCCCGGACACTTGTCTGGGGGGACCTGATTTGGGCCTTGTTAACCTCCATTTTCCGGTGGAATAATCCAAACCACCAAATCTGGCTCAGGATATGGGTCCCGCTCCCTTACGCGGTGCTTTAACCAAAACCACATCCTTCTTGAGCACTTGAAAACCTTGTTTGGGCAGTGCCCAGCGCAAACCCTTTTCAGGTGGCGTTTTAGGCAAAACCACGTGATTTTCCCTTGGTTGCTCCCATCCCGAATTGACTCGCCCTGGACACCCACTTCTGGGCCCGCTGCTTTCTGGCGGCAAATCTGCAGAGCAATATACAGCAATGCTGGTTGTGTAATTGGACTCACAGACTGTCTGCCATATCCGTGTGCTTCCCTGGGCTCCTTACCCAGCGCAACCTTCCGGACCCAGCAGCAGCAACGGTTTTCGTCTACTGGACCCTCTAGATGTGTTGCCATGTCCGGGTGGCCCCCCTCGCAACGTACCCAGCACTACCTTCAGGACCTATAGAAATTAGGATTCAAGATGTAAGGTTTAGGGCCACCTGGAAGCACAATGCGATGAGCGAGGCGGTTCAGCCGAGTCCTTCCACAGTGAAACTATGTTTGTTGAGAGTGGTGTTTGGGGCCCCGTAAAAAACCCTAAACCCTAGTAGCATAAAACCTGGATGCCAGAGGTTGGCAATGCACGAGCAGCTGACGACGCGCTGCCTCGCGACCCCCTGGGTGGAGGCGCGTCGCTTGCTAGAGCACGCCNNCCCCTAGCCCTACACCCTAAGCCCTGAAAACCCTGACCCTAGGACTACATGAAGCTGCCAGCTGACGGCTAGTCCCGACCGTAAAGCTTCTCCATCTCCTCTGTAAGGGACTGCTCTTCCTGCTCCAAGGGTTGAGGGAGTGTTTAGGGTTTAGGGTGTAGGCTTCTACAGTATGCATGGATGGAATTTCCAGATTTTGGACTTTGTGTGCCCAAGAGGTTGACATGCGCAACAGCGACTCGGTAACAATCACATGAAACACCTTGAGTACTGCGGGTCTTGGTAAATAGGTTATACATGGGCTGATACGCAGAAAAAAGCCGATTGGGAACCTATAACCCTGTGTGGAACCGGCTTACCAAGTCCCCCGGGCCTTCAGGAAATACCTGATAATCAGAAACTCGTCCATATCCTCCCTACAACTACTACTACCAAAACAAAATACCAGCTATTGTATTTTTGCCAATCACCTTCAAAAGAGGATCCTTAGCATCACCAAACAATCCTGAATCTTAAATATCCAGGCCTTATCTAACCCTAAACGCCTTTGTAGTCACTACCGACAAACGACCCCAAATGTTGCCATTTCCCACTACATCTTACCTAGACCCTCCAATGTAGTACTTTTTTGGTAATCCTAATAAGAGTCCTAACCAAAAAACCATACCAAACCTTAAATGGAACTACATTGGAGGGTCCAGGTAGGTCCTACTTAGCATGCCAGTTCTGCTAGGACCGGTTTAGAACCTACCTAGAAAGCCTAGGTACCCCAAATAATGGGCTACTTGAACCCCAAGTAGTAGGAAATTAGGGCAAAGTTGCCTATGAGTATGGGTAACTGGCTTTCTAGGTAGGTCTTAGGGTACGTAAGCCCCAATTGTCCTTTATACGTTGACGCTACCCGAAAAAACTAGGACCTAGAAGGCCTTTCGGTAAGTAGCTAAACCCTAAACCCTAAACCCTAAACCGAATAATGTTATCAGCAAAGCAGAATGAATCGGTCCCTGGACCATGAACCCCCTAAAACCTAAACCCCAAACCCAGTTTGGGGTTTAGGGCTTAGGGTTTAGGGTTCAGGGTTCAGGGCCTGAAAAGGGGTCTCGGTCCCTGGTAGACTAGTGTCTTTGAAGGGGGGGTTGTCAGGGGGTCCCATGTTACTTTGGCGGATTACACCCTAAGCCCTATACATCCATATGTGGATACATAATATACATTAGTCTTACTTTGGCGGATTACACCCTAAGCCCTATACATCCATATGTAGATACATACATGCATACACCTGTATAGAATATACACCTACAGATCCATGTATGCCTCTCCCGCCTTATGGTGCTTTTTGGGTGGCTTCATGTTAGTTTGGGGGGGGAGGGGGGGGGCACATGTATCTTTTACAGCTCCAAGGCATCCTTGGGACTCATGTGTCAGGAGTCTATCTGGGTCATGATTAAAAATGACCTCTAACGGTCTGCTATACGAAGTTACCTACTACAGAGAAGAGGAAGATTTCCGCATACCTGAAACCTTGCTAGAGATTTTGGAGTGCGTTGAAATTTCAAATCCACACAATTCCTAACCCCTAAGGGTAGGTATCACCATAGAACCCCTGTGTTGCAGGGTTTCAGGTTAAAGGATTAGGGTTATCACCATACAACCCTGCAAAGAAGCTGGGTCTTGCGAGCTGGAATGCATACTGCATTTAGGGTTTAGGGATTTTTGGGTGTTAGGGTTTAGGGATAGGGCTTAGGGTGCAGGAGTTTGGGGGTCAGGGTTTAGAGTTTGCGCCTTACAATCCCACCCTTGAAGTCCCGTACACAACACCCAGATAATCACCTAATTGTGTAACTTGTGCAGCCCCTGTGCCTCAATCCTAAACCTTGCATACCTTTCAACAATTCTACATGTAAACTGTAGTTACTTACCTACCTTCTATTCCCAAACATAGCCCAGTATATCCACATAAATTCGACCAAACCCAAGAAACATCCCTCTAACCGGAACTCATATAAGGATAGATATAAGGACTATATGAATTCCGGGTTAGGAACTCATATAATCCTGATATTATATAGGCCTAAACCCTAAACCCCAAGCCCTAACCCCAAAGCCCTAAACCCTAAAACCCTAAACACCCTAAACCCTAAACCCTAAAACCCTGAGGCTACAATCCCAAACTTTAGCCGCGGCCCCTCGCCTCATACCGGACGAGCACAGCTTCCTGTGCTTTTCCCTCGAAACCTGCCTGCCGAATGCTTTCAGGGAACTCAGGGCTCTTAGTGTTTAGGGGTTTGGGGTCTAGGGTCTATGGATTTAGGGGTTAAAGATTTGAGGTTTATTTTAAGGGTTTAGGGTAGGGTTTAAGGTTCAGGGTTTAGGGTATACATACATATATATATATATCTCTCTCTCTCTCTCTATCTCTCTCTCTCTCTCTCTCTCCTCTCTCTCTTTATATATATATATGTATATATGAATATAAGCGTACTTGGAGGGTTGGGGGAGGGGGCTTAGGAGGTAGGTTCAGACTGGGGATGCCATGGGGGATATTTGTCGGCTTGTGGAGGTGTTTTCTATACCCTAAAAACGCTTAAGGGTTTAGGGTTTAGGGTTCTAACCCTATACCCTGTACCCAAAACTCTCTTCCGAATCCCTACACCCTAAACCCCATGTCCTATGTCCTGAATCCTAAGCCCTAACCTTGGGTCCCAGCAAAGTCCCAGCAAAGAATCTCAAGTCTTTGACGAGCTGACCTGAACACACGGAACCTATAATTGGGTGGTTCTATGAGCTACAGTCAATGTTTCCCTGTTTAGTTAGTTGAAATCAAATGGAAAAGAAATGGAACGCCAAACGAATACTACTGCTTAGGGTTTAGGGGTTAGGACTATATGAGTTACAGTCAATATTTCGCATATAGTTGACGGACATGAATCCTTATGACAGCGTTTCGTAAGGCCTATACCAAATTACCAAAGGGACCCCTACATCCACTTTGCTTCCCATTCTGGCTATGTAGCCGCATGTAACTTACCTGTATGTCTCTCGAGCACTTCCTGATGTCCCACAGAATCCCTGCAAGATGAGACAATCCTATATAAACCCTAAACCCCAAACCCGGTCAAGCCTGACATTGCCTTGGATCTACCAGCTTCTCAGGAAAAGAAAGGTGGCCTTTCTGATCCTGGTCGACCTAGACTGACCTAGACATACATGTAGTCTCCTTAGACCTATTCTAGGGGTTAGGGCCGAACCCTAAACCCTGAATTTCCAACCCATCGACCCCAGACTCAGCCCCCACCCACGAATAGTGACCAGAACGGATATACGTGTAATTAACTGGGTTGGCCCCTAAATATGTTAAATATATATATATATATGGTCCCCTATTAAGGCCATTAGGGAAAATGTTAAATATCCCAAAGGCCTACCCAGTTAATCATGTTAGGGTGCCTATACAATCCTGTTGGATCGCTTCGACTGGGCGGGGCCCTGACCCTACACCCTAAACCCTGAACACTGAATCCTGGACCGTTAACCCTAGTCCTTAAACTCTGGACCCTGAACGCCGAACCAGGGGCCCTGACCCTAAACCCTCAACCCTAAACACTGAACCCTGGACCAGAAACCCTATTCCCTAAACTCTGAACCCTGAACGCCGAACCAAAGACCCTAGACACTAGTCTGACACGAGAGTGCATATAGGCCTGGCCTGCATCTTTTCCACCTCTGCGGTAAAGAGGCTAAGGGTTAAGGGCTTACAGGTAAGGGTTTGGGGTTCAGGGATTTAGCGTTTAGAGTTTGGGGTGTACTGGTCAAGAGGTTTAGGGCGCTTCCATTGGCTTACCTACTTCGCCCGAAAGTTGAGCCCCGCGCCCACACATGTTTCGGGTTTAGGGATAAGCCCTGGACCTCTAAACCCTAGTGAAAGTTGAGGGGTTGGGTCAATGGCTGGATGTCGCTCCTTGTTATCAATGCTACACACTATAGTTAACAATGGAGGATCAGACTCGGCATATGGTTGAAGAAGGCTTTAATTTCAGGTTGAAGGATTAAGCTTTAGAGCTTGCACATGACGACTTTATTCAGGGTTTAGAATTCAAAGTTCAGGGCTGTAGATATACATAGAGAATTTTGAATGGGAGGTAAATACGGATTGCCGGATAGAGGGCCCAGACGAACACCTCAGACAGTAGGATGCAGATTCGCTCTGTGTTGACCGGAACCGCAATTATTCCAGCGTCGTAGCGATCTGCCCCAGCAATCTGACATGTTTGATCACATTCAAGAATTTGTTATGGGGGATAAAAGAGTGTATAGTGATTAGAATTTTATAAGTACAAATAGTTCCCTTCATGTTATAGTATTTGGGCCCTGAAGCCCTATTATTTGGGTCCTTGGACCTTTAGGGATACCCTCATTACTTATGAAACTTATATACCTACTATATACCCGACATGTACCCTTAAGGGTCCCTCAAAAAGCCTAAGGGCCCATATTAGGGGCCCATACTTCTAACCTTAGAACCATCATTACTTATGAAACTTCTGAGTACCATTGATGTCATAATACTTGGGCCCTAAAACCCTATTGTTTGAGTCCTTGGACCCTTAGGGATACCGTCATTACACCCTAAACCCTAAATCCTAAACCCTAAACCCTAAACCCTAAACCCTAAAACCCTAAAACCCTAAACCCTAATGCTTGCTCCTGCTTGGATGGATTCAGGGCGCTGGAATTCAAAAGGCCTAGGTCGAAAAGAAAAGCAGATTGTGAGCCACTGTCTAAACTATTGATAATGGAGACCATTTAGGGTTTAGGGCGTAGGGCTTAGGATTTCAAAGCCATATGAGCTATAGTCTAAACTCCTAGTATCCCCCCTGAATAATGGAGAATCAAATGGAAAAGAAACATGGAAAATGAAATGGAGAACTGGGATTATATAGGGGGATTATAAGGGTTGTAGTCTAAACTCCTAGTATCCCCCTTTTTAACCCCTATAGTAGGCCCCTATATAATCCCCTATAAAATCCCCCTTTAAGGAGTTTAGACTATGGCTCATGTGGTTGTACTTCCAAATGTTGGGGTGCCGCTGTGCACCCCAGTAAATACTACAATTTCCACTGGAAGGACCGACTGCAAGTACATAGTCGCCCAAACTGAACGTAGAAAAAAAATAGACGAAGGTAGATTTGCAGGGCACTATCTGCGTTCCCCTCCTGCAATCTCCGAAAGCTCCAAAGACCCACACCCTACCCCCTGACCCCCCAAAACCCTAAACCCCACCCCTTGAATCTTGGTTCCTAAAACCCTAGACTAATGAATCCCAAACCCCAACACCTAAAGCCTAATTGAACCCTAAAACATATTAATCTCTAAGCCCTACACCCCAAGCCCTAAGCCCTAAACGCCCCACATGATGCCCAGTTGCCTTTTCATGTATTGGGGGCAATAGCCCTAAAACCTACCCTGCATAGTCCATCTATCAACCCCTATATAACCCCCAGAAAAGAGAGGATCCATCTTTGTCGTACTATGCCGCACCCTTCAACCCCAACCACCCTTGCAGTTGCCTCGCCGCTGTCCGCGAGCAACGCCAGGCTGCCGCCAGCAAGGCGTCGGAAGCGCTTTATGACCACCTTTTTGTTGAGATTTAGGGTTTCGAGTTGAGAGTTTAAATTCAGGGCTAGGGCTTAGGGTTAGGGTCTGGAGTTTCAGCAATATAGCAGCATGACACTATACCAAGCATAGGATCAATAGTTTGTGGTTTCGGGCTGTCAAACAAAGCTCATGTACCTACGGAAGTACGCCACAAATCATGTGGAAAAAAGCACGCTTGCAGAGGGCCGTCATGGAACCGAGGCCTCTGAGACCGAGACCCTTAAAGCCACTTCAAGAACACAGGGCTTCAGCTCTGGGTCTTGGGACTTATATATCCCTAAGGGTCCAAGGACCCAAATAATAGGATTTTAGGGCCCCAATACAATTAACATTATAGTATTTGGGCCCTAAAACCATTATTTGGGTCCTTGGACCCTCAAGATATTGTAGACTAAAGGAATGAAGGCGCTGAGACGCGGTTTAGGGCTTGGTGTTTACCTGTAACCCCAATTACCTACAGCTTTTATGGGTTAAACCTATTTTAAGAGTTACTACTAAGCTATAGGCAACTGGGATCACAGGTAAACGTAATTATTTAATTCCGGTCAAGCAAAGAGGGGCCACCCTAAACCCTAAACCCTAAACCGCGTAGCCATGAGGTTGCACCATGGCTGTTCTGGCTTGCTTGTCCTCAGCTCAGGTTTGGTTGCATGTGCCATTTCTCACAGGACGCACCGGGCGGCCCCTATGTGATTCTTGGGTTTAGGGTTTAGGGTTTAGGGTTCGGCCCCCATGTGATTCTTGCGGTTGAGGGTTTAATCTTATAATGTGCTTGCTCCCATTTTCTTTGTCATTATCTCCCTAAGGCACCCTATCTATTACTATACGCCCCTATATATTACCATACACCCCTTTAGATTAAAGGACCTTCCCTGTAAGGCCGTCAAACAGTAAACCTGCAGTCTAAACAAAACGGCTCCGGGCGATTCTGGCTCTTCTGGGTCATAATACCCCAAGTATGCATGCTATGTTATGTATAGGGATTGTACAGGGGTTATATAGGGACTATTTAGGGTGTAGGGTTCAGATATTTTCCCACGAATAAGAATGGAAGATTGGCGAAACCGTTGGGAGCAAGTGTTCCATGATTCCTGGAGGGTCTCCAAGCCCCTGGAGGGCCTCCAAGCCCATAAACGATAGCGGTTTTACAGGTTGAGGGTTCAGGGTTTAGGTTGTTTAGGGGGTTTAGGGTCCAAGCCTATGAATGATAGCCACTTTGGGATAGCAAGTCTTGAAATCTTGGCTACTTTGGGACAGTTGAAGGCTTATTAGACCAATGATAATGTATGTCTCCGTGCGGCGAGACCAGTTCCCAGCCCACATAGTACCCCAAACCCCCAAACCCCAAACCCAACCTTTACCCTAGCCATGCTTAGGAGTTTCTCAAAAATACCCTGGTATAATCTGCAGGACAGGCGCTGAGAATCGTCTTGCAATGCCTCTGTATATAAGCAGACATGCTTGTACACATATAGAGATACCGTTTTTAGAAGGGATGCATGTATGTAGCACTTGTTCATGTACATATATTTCTCAAGTAATATACCCCAATACCCAATACCCTGAATCCTAATCTAGAAACAGCTAAATAGCCCTAAGATCCACAGGACCCCCCCCCCCCACTTGAGAAACCTCCGTTTGGAGGGTTGGGACCTGTTTAAAAGCTTAATCCTACTTGAAGGTTCATGGGACTTAGTAACTACTTATGCTTGTGTGCCTTTAATGGGGTTATAGGGATGTATAGGTTCGTGAGACTTAGTACCAGTTATGAGAAGGATGAAAATGCCACTTGTAAGCAGTTACTAAATTCCATGAACCTCCGAGGAAACCCCAACCGCGACAGTTGGGGTGTGTCCGCTGCCTTCTCGTGGTAGGATCGGTTGCCTCCGGGTCCCATACCTTTCCGAAAGGCTAGCTAAATTACAACATTTGGGGACCATTGTCCAGGGAGACCACTTGAACCCGAAAGTCTGAGCTCTAAACCCTAAACCCAAAATCAATAATTCAGCCGGCGAAGGATACTAAGTAACTATATGGTACAGGGTAGGCCTGCTATACTAGAGATCTATCATGGCCGTTTCCTTGCCTTCCCAGGCTGATAACAACACGATTATGGGTTTAGCGCTGAAAGTTAAGGGATTAGGGTTTAAGGTTAAATGTTGAGGGCATAAACTGAGTGACTGTCCAATAACAGAAATTTTAGATTGGGTAAGGACCGTTCACACGGGGTCATTTCCCAAAGGATCTATACGATTAAGCTTTAGAGGGGTTGGGGGCCACATGGGCTACAGGGTCACAAGTGTTAGTATAGTCACTTGCGAGGGCTGCTCGGGTTTAGGGCTTGGGGCTTTGTGTTCGTGATTGACAGGGTTCACGAACAAGCAAAAACAGCCTGGAACAAGAAACGTCGGAGGGCGGAGCCCTAAAGGACCTTGCGGTTTAGGGTTTAGGAAATGGCCCACTGCACCAATCAATAAGGAGATTGAAGGTTGTCACAAGTATGGTCCCTTTCTGGGGTATCCTAAATAGTAGTGACTTTTCCATTTGATACTCCATAGTTCTAATTGTCTTGGCCCATACTGCTCCCCCAACCCTAGATTCTGAACGCCAGGCCTGAAACCTCAAACCCTGCACAAGCACCACAACCCCTTTAAGGAACACCGCCATCGCCGTACTAAGCTGGCTACTTTCGCCCTGCATCCGGCTCTCGGTAAAGGTGATGATGTCCTGGCTCACGTGGTATACAAAGGGCCAGGGAGTCTACTTAAGGGGTCCAGCTTGTTCTAGGGTTTATAGAAGGCAGGGAGAATCAGTTGGACAGGAACCTAGAACATGAAATGGAAACAGGATAATCTAGGGGTTCATCCCTTATGAGCCTTTGTTGAGGAGTTTCCTGAAGGGACACCCCCCAGTTAAAAAAAGGGTCCAGGGCTTAAGGGATAGTACGCCAAAATCCCTGGACCTGTTTTGAGAAACTCCCCTCCAATACAACCGTATGGTCTTCAGAACATCCAGCATTCTAGTCCCCTAAAAAACCTAAACCCTAAATAGTATTTTCCACTTTCTTTTCCATTATCCCCATATTATACCCCATTATACTATCTACTTCAGGGAGACTATAGATGGGTGGGGGCTGTGCGAAGGGGCTCTCAGATCTCCCAGCGGGGCTTGGGGGATTGAGATTCAGCTTTGGGTGTCTACCGTGTGCATATATGCAAAAATTTGTGAGAGAGGGAGAGAGAGAGATTGAGATTCACATACGAGCTATAGTTTAAACTCCTAGCATCCCCCTTAAGAAGCCCCTATGATACTCCCCTACAGAATTCCCTATATAAACCCTTTAAGGAGTTTAGACCCTAAGCCCTATATAATCTCCTATATCCCCCTTTAAGGAGTTTAGACTACAGCTCATATGAGCAGCGTTTTTTTTGGTGGCTAGACCCAGTAAGATTATATTCCTTCTAGAAAATAATATACCCCAAAAGGAGGATATAATCTTACTCTATAATGGGTACCAGAATATCCCCAAATCAAATACTGCTCATATGTACCCTAGATAGACCCCGCCAGCTCGCAGGATCGCCCTAAACAGTACCCTGAGCCCAAAACCTAGCGCTTAGGGTTTAGGGCTTAGGGTTCAGGGGCTTAGGGTTTAGGGCTTAGGGTTCAGGGGCTTAGGGTTTAAGGGTTTAAGGTTCAGGGTTTAAGGCTTCACCCCCCAAAAACACCAAGGGCTTTTATTAGCGGTGCATACTTCTAGACAGTAGGTGTATCAAGAAAGCCCAAGTCGAGATTACCCCAGGGATGAGAGCTTCACAAAGGGGAGAGATAGGGATTATGTAGGGTTTAGGGTTCAGGAAGTCGGGTTTGGGGTTTTGGAAGTAGGGTTTAGGGTTTGGAGAATACTCCAATACTGGAGAAGCAAATGGAAAAGAGCATCTGACATGGAATGGACCTAAACCCTAAACCCTAAACAACTGGTTAAAGGTTTCAAGCCTTCGGGCTGAGGATTTTCAAGGCTTCGGGTTATCCCGGGATCGGGGTTTCTCAAGGCTGACTCTAAGGGTCTAGTATCCCTAGTTTGGAGTACACCCCAGAAAAAAAGGAGCATAGACGTGTTAGGTAGAAGTTGTTGTAATAAGAAACCGGGAACCAAAAAAAGATTAAAGTGCAGTACTCCAATATTGGGGGGTATACAATAATCACATATACTTCGGGGTCATTGCAATAGAAATCGTCACTTAAATCCCTCAACCCTAGACCCTACCTAGACCCTCCATTGTAGTACCGTTTTGGTAGTCCTAAAAGAGTCCTAACCACAAAACCATACCAAACCGAAAAGGGAACTACATTAGAGGGTCTAAACCCTAAACCCTTAACCCTTAACCCTAAACCCCTTCAACCAAGGCTTCTGATCTAGGACCCTGGGTTGCTGACCCTATGGGGGTTTCCCATTGGGTTTAGGGTTTAGGGTTTAAGGTACCTGTTTGGGGGGTCCCTAGAATAAGGGTTATTGTATTTGGGAGTCCATAGTGGGGTACCCTTCTTTTGGGAAACTACCATATCCGTTGGACCCTTGGGGCTTGGGTTCGGGATGTCAAGATGTGGATTTTGGGCTTCCGAGGGACCCTCAGGTTGCTGAGTGGCTGGTCGAAAGCACAAGGGTATATGTTGGGGAGAATGGAAAAGAAAATGGAAACTACTATAGTATATTGGGGTTATAAAGGGATAATGGAAAAGCAAAATGGAAATGGAAACTACTATTACTATTAAGCTTTTGGCAGTTTCCCTAAATTACTGTTCCCAAAATGGGGGAAATTTATATAGGGCCCCGTATTATAATAGGAACCCAAATATAGTACCCCGTATTGACAGTAATTTAGGACAATCCCCTTTTAGGGTTCAGGGTTTAGGGGTTATGGGTATACAGAAAACAGAAGCGCCCTATGGCATTTCACCCCCCAGGACTTCTGCGGCGATTGTGTAAAGGGGTTGGGGATTCTGCGAGGATTGACAGGGTTTAGGGTTTAGGGTTTAGGGTTTAGGGTAAACCCAAAGCCACCCCCAAAATTAACATTGCACGCTGTCTTGCTCCCCATTAGCTTTTATAGGAGGGCGAAGTAAAATACCGATTTGGGGTAGTAATACTAGCTACCCTTAACCCTACACCCCAAAGCCTACACATCCTGTACCCCCTATCAAAACCGTTTAAGGTTCCCTGAGTAAGCCCTTGACCCCAGACCCTAAACCAGGCCTATATGGGGATCTTATTGTAGTATACCCAAAGCCATATTCTATCGACCTAAGGGGACTCTAACCCTAAACCCTACACCCCAAACCCTATATCTTATCTACTTAAGGGGGACTATAACTTCAAACCTAGCGTCGTTGTTGAGCGATACTCTGCCCACTTTGTAGAACCAATTTTCGCTGTCTCTGAACTCGCTGGAGCCTTGGCTTCTAGTTGCCGGATTATTGGGAGGGGATGGTTTAGGGTTTAGGGATTAGGGTTTAGGATCTTTTTAATAAGGGGCTAGAGGGGCCAGAGAGGTTTGAGAGCGTTGAGGTGTGTAAGGGTCTGAAGAGCTTAGGTTTGAAGGGTTTAAGGGGTGAAGAGCTTTAGAGTTTAGGGCTCAAGGGTTCAGGACTTAAAGTGAGGTTTACATGTTGGAGGGATTCCTGTAAAGGAGCTATATGGGGGTTCATTTCGGCTTATAGTTTAGGTTTTAACGTTCGGGGCTGGAAACTTCAGGGTCATAGGTTCATCCCTTAACTCTAAGCCGTACTTCTCAAACCCTGAGCCCTCATTAGTATTGACATCCTATTCCCTAAGGCACCCAGTTACCAAAATAGTAGGTTACTGGGCCATGTAACTACAGGGTATATAGAACCTAGAACCCACTGTTTAGGCAATTGAAGCCCTGCGGATTATTATGAGTAATCGTAACCAATCAGGCCTAGCCTATAGCTAGAATTTAGGGGTTCTCCCTAAACCCTAAACCCTAGATTCTAGATCCTAAACCCTAAACCCTAAACCCTATACCTAAGCCCCAAACCCTAA